AGGAAATTAAACCTGAGAAATCTCTCTTTCTGCTGCTTAAATCCAGCCCAACTTGAATTCCCGGGAGAATGACAATCCGTGCAAAAGGTGGGATGCACTTTCCTCTGGGCTCTGGGGTGTGTGTCATGCTGAGGCCCGAGAATGCTTCCTGCTGTTGCTCGTGGGATCCCAGGAGCTTTTTGTGGTTTTGTAAGGAACTTGAGGGGTTGTGCGTGTCTGTGTGTGCGTGTGTGCGCGTGCGAGCGGGGGCGGGGGAGTGGAGAAAGAGCCCCGCAGGGCGGGAGCCTTGGTACGTTCCCAGGTTGGACGGCAGGAGGCTCTCGCTCGCGGGCGGCTACGCGTCGAACCAGTGGTCCCCCATGCAGGCGCGGTTCCACTCGCAGCTGCAGGCCCAGCACCACTCCAGCCCGCACTGCGGCTGCGGACACTTCATGTGCATGCAGCCTCCTGCGGGCAGACAAAGACACAGGCAAACACCCGCAGAACACTCCTGCCCGCACCCACGCCACGCACTGCTCCCCAGAGGACTCTCTAAGGGGACGTCCCAAGCCGTCCGAGGGCGTTCGGAAGGTAGGACATCGGTTAGGAAGGGAGTGAGGGTGAGGGTGCCGCACGCCACTCCCATCGAGGACAAATGCCATTTGTGAATCTCAGTTTATGGACTTCCCTGAAATGGGATTTAGAGACAAAGGCTTTGTGTGGCAGAGATGAGGTCCATTCCTTATCGAAATGTATATTGCTTCATGTTTTAAATAGATGTTAATATACTAAGTATAATATTAGTTGGCATGGCAAAATTCATGGAACAGGAGTTGGGGAAGCAGCACGAGAAGTATTAATGGAGGAGCGCCTGGTGGCTCAGTCAGTTAGGTGTCTGCCTTCGGCTCAGGTCATGATCCCAGGGTCTCTGGATCGAGCCCTGCCTTGGGCTCCCGGCTCAGCCGGAAGCCTGCTTCTCTCTCTCCCTCTGCTGCTGCTCCCCCTACTTGTGCTCTCTCTCTCTCTGTCAAAAAAAGTAAATAAAATCTTTAAAAAAAAAATATTTAACAGAGAATTCATTCCTTAATGCTCTTCAAAATTGTATTTAAGGGGCACCTGGGTGGCTCAGTGGGTTAAGCCTCTGCCTTCAGCTCAGGTCATGATCTCAGGGTCCTGGGATCGAGCCCCGCATCAGGCTCTCTGCTCAGCAGGGAGCCTGCTTCCTCCTCTCTCTGCCTGCCTCTCTGCCTACTTGTGCTCTCTGTCTGTCAAATAAATAAATAAATAAAATCTTTTAAAAAAATTGTATTTAAGATTAGCAGACGAGGGATACTGGGTACTCTACGTGGGTTACCTCATTCCTCCTCAAAAGCGCCTAGTGAGTAGGAATATTACTCTGCTGTAGAATTCTCTCAAGGTCCAGTACTTCTAATGGCAAAGCCCAAGATTTAACCAGGATTTGTCCTTCTTTCATAGAAGAGGGTGTTTACAGCATGAGATGAACACTTGCTCATTCTGGGACTTATTTTGGGATTCCTCCCCATCACACATTTGTTAAATTCATTTCTGATTTGCTTCTGGGGCTCAGACATCCAGTCTGCAGTGGAGTGCAGAGTTACTTGTATGAAGTTAGATGCAGAGAACAGTTTCTGACTGAATTTCCTAGATAATTCAGGCAAAAGCAGCTCTTTGCTTGAATCTGACATAACACTGGATGTGGTCTATTATTCAATTTCACCAATTATCCTCTTAAGTCATTTTTCCTTGCCAAATTTTCCAGGTAATCGCTTCCGTACTATCTCATTTTTATTATTAGAAATATGGCATGAGAACCTCCACTGATTTAAAATATTTATGAATATGTAACTGAAGGAATTTGTTGTAGGGTAATTTAAGGGCATTTAAAAATCCCCTACTTTGCTACTCCTTTTCCGTTTGTTTTAAAGATCATTTAAAGCTTAAAAATATGCAGAAAATAAAGGGAGGACTTACCTATGGTACTTTTATCTTAATATTTCCCATTTAGGGTTACACAATTACAGGACTAATTTTAAATACATATTTAATGATTATACGCTTATGATGTAAATAACAAAATGTCTTCCTACAATACCAAAATCTTCGAAAATACTAATATTACAAATAACATTTTATTATAGAAACAAGAATCATGATGGCTCCACAGAATAAGAAGAAAGGAAACAGGAAGAGAGAATATTCATGTTATTAAGTTTCTTTAAGCCCCCCGGTGCTTAACAGATGCAGGGCCATAAGCTAGCTCCCATAATACAGAAAAGCACCAGGGACTCTGATTCTAAAAGCTTTGCCAGCACAAAAGTAACTGACAACGTCCCCTGACTTTGTGGTCATTTAAACGAAGAAAACATGGCTTCCCTCCTAGAGAATTCTGATCTGTCCATGGGCTGAGGCACCTGTTCCCATCAGCACCGTGGCTGGGGCCAGCGACTCTTTCATTAGGTTTATGGAGGGAGTAGAAGTTATTGAACAACCTGAAGGGAGATTTAACCGGCAACAGGCACTTGCTGATCAGGGAAAGTAAGTGGCGTCTCCTCAGTCTGGGGTGGGAGGGAAGGAAGACACTTTCCCAGATTGAGGCTGGCAGGAGGAAGCAATGAGGCTTCGCCTGGGTTCGACGTGGGAATGAGCCTCACGTTGTTTGTGGCTTTGCGGCAGGAAGAACTCCTTTCTGGGATTCAGATGACTATGACAGAGGCCATGAATTTACTTTGAGAATGAGATCACGAGACCAGCTTTTCTTGCCCGTAGAGCTCACATCTGTCTCTGCTGTATGCTTTAAAAACAGCTTAGACGAATAATACTTATTATTAATAAGCTTAAAGTTTCATGGGCTAAAAATCTATCGGTGAAAAATCAGGGCTTTCCATTTATAGCAAATCCCGATACTTCAAAGAAATCCGAGATGGGGGGCACGAGGGTGGCCAGTTGATTTAGCAGTTAAGTGACTGCCTTTGGCTCAGGTCCTGATCCTGGGGTCCTGGGATGGAGGCCCGCATCGGGCTCCCTGCTCTGTGGGGAGTCTGCTTCTCCCTCTGTCTTCTGCTCCCCCTGCTTGTGTTCCCTCTCTCTCTAATAAATAAAATCTTAAAAAATTTATCTGTTTATGTGTCATCCCCTTTAACTAGCTACTTTTTAATCAATGAGTATTTGTCAGGTGCTTTTCTGGGCCCAGGGAAGGGACAGGCAAGGTTCCTGCCCTTCGGTAAGAGCAACATGGTTTCTTAGTATTTAATGCACATTCTTGAAATACGTGTGACCTGGAGCACGGCCCGTGTTTATCAGCACTGCGTACCCTCCCTGGTGAAGGCTCTTTGCACCTTTTCTTTTTTTTAATGTTTTATTTATTTATTTGAGAGAGAGCCAGACTGAGAGAGAGCATGGGCAGGGGAGGGACAGAGGGAGAGGGAGAAGCAGACTCCCCGCTGAGCAGGGAGCCTGACGCGAGACTCAGTCCCGGGATCCTAGGACCCCAGGCTGGTGGCAGTCGCTGGACCAGCTGAGCCAGCCAGGCCGCCCTGCATCTTTTCTGACTTCCGCTTGCCTACACGGCACTCTCGAGCAGTGAGGACTACAAGAGTCCCTGCCCCGGCTCCACTGACGTCCTTTCCTCCTACAGGATTCCAGGCACATCCCAGTGTGCAGAGGGGCATGAGGACTCATGACGCACATTTATGTCTGTATTTCCAGGAGACCATTGCCTCCGAGCCAGGGATGTGGCCTGAGCTGAGCCCATCACCTTCTGAGGGACACAACAGGGGAAACAGGCCTGCAGGCCTGTCCTGAGAGCACCGGGTTCCGCTCCCCAGCGAGCCAGCGGGCACCTCTCACACTTGGAACGGGCTCTGGGCACTGGGCTGTGATGGCTTTACGCCGGTTGGCACATCCTGGATGGGTGGCGGCCGGGGTCCTGGCTGGTGCGAGGCACCAGAATCACCGTGAACGGGGCAGCCCAGAGCCAAACAGACCAGCGCCGCCGAGCGGGGAGGACGCACGCCGACCGCCGCAGGCCACAGGACCCCCGTGCCGTCGCCCCAGCCCTGGGAAGCTCAAGGGGAGAAGAAGTGCAGCCACTGGCACAGACGCACCGTCGGGGAGCTGAGCGGGCCTCCCCCCGTGTCCTTCGGTGGGTTACAGGGGCTCCTTGTCCATGAGGACAGGAGCAGGAAGGACGGTCCTGCCATCTGCAAGCCCCACGGGTCCCCGCAGCCACGGGGTTCCCGCAGTTCCTGAGTGCGTCGGGGCTGGGGGGGTCCCAGCCTTTCTTGGGACTGGAGTGTCGTTAAGAAGAGAGCCGTTCAGATACGGAACCCGCGTTTCTATGCCCGTGAACCCACACAGAGCAGGGCCTACCCGGGGACTCCTAAATGGCCGGGGGCAGGCGAGGGCGAACTCCAGACGCATCTCCCCGCGGTCACCTCACCTTCTCAAAACTGAGAGAGTAGTTGGCAAGAGGCTAAAGGAATAGGTTTATGGAGAGACAGGTGCAGGCGGAGGGGATTTTAATACAGCAGGCGAGTGGGGTTATAAAACAAAGCTCTGAATGTCCCACAACAAGGACAGACAAGCACAAGCCCCAGTGCACGCGGCTCTGCAATGCTCCACAAGCTGCTGTGACAGGAAGAGAAGGAAGTCATGGCTCCCAAATGTGGGAACCAGGAAATCAAACAAAATTAAGCCAATTTCTTTACAAAAGGATTCTGAGTTGCTAATGCATATTGCGAATGGGAATATATTGTGATTTCTGCGAGCGTTAAATGATCTCACATTTGTAGGGAACTTAGGCCAAACACCCCGTAAATGCTCAGTATGAGTTAATTGTTTGTGTGGTTGTTATTATGCAAGAGGGACATGCTACAGGGATGACCGGGCAGCTCTTTCCCTACCGAGGAACTCTAGACACCAGAACACTGAGAAATACGGGGCTGGGAAGCTTCCATTATATATATATATGTACGTACATATATATATATATATTTGGCTACACTAGTGGACCGCTTACCAGATACAAAGTATCTAATATTATTAATAATTAATAATAATAAGGGCAATTAGGTTTATTGATTGTCTAAATCAGGCACTTGGCTGTGTATCTGCAGTGTGCGACAGCCCATGATTCTCCTGGTGTGAGACAGCTTCTGTTTTCCCCTCTCTTTGACAGAGGAGGATCTCAGCCTTAGGCAGTTTAAAAACTTGGCCTGGGAGAGCGGAGACTGGCGTTCTGGCCAATGGCTCCCAATTCCCAGGGTGCTGAGCTCGTCAGTTACATGTCCTCTTACAGTTCCTGACTGCTACAACCGCTGGCTCCCGCTTTCCAAGGAGCCTCCCCCAACCCTCACTTCTTCCCAGACTCACCATTTTTCTCAACGGGCACATGGCAGCGGGGACAGGGCTTGGTGGTTTTCTTGATCGTTTCTTTGGAGGCCTCTTCCCACCGAGCTTGCTCCGCGGCCTTCTGGTCAACTCGGTAAGCCTGCGGAGTGAAGACAGAAGGAGCTGCGACTCAGAGCTTTACGTGGGGGTTGATGTGTCAGTTCTTTGAGACACAGGTCCAGAAAATTCCTAGAGCTGCGAGTGCCCTCAAGGAAGACACTAAGCATAAACACAATTGACAGGTGTGGGACAAGGCCCGACATGCACGGAACACGGTTTCCTCTGCCTGCAGCCTTCACTTACGTGCTGAGAAAATGGCTTAATTTTATAGTGTGATATCCCTTCTTCGGTTGTTTTGGATAATGGTCATGAATGACGCCTATGAGGTGTGAACCGTGCAGGCGAGGTGAGAATGCCCTACAGACGCTGCCTTCATGCTTCGTCAGGCGAGTGTACTCATGTTTCTTACCCACCAAGGAGGAGGTGGGCTCAGCAGTTGCCCAGAGCTGGTGAGTGGGACGTTCCAAGATTCCTTTACATCTCGTTATCCTTCATTCTTGCACCTGGAGGATGGGGAGCTCCAAATGTCGTCACAGAAGGGACAGGAGCCAGAAGAAGGAAATGGAGATGACGTGACATGGAAGGTGGAGGGGGTCCGGAGGAGCCGGGGGAGAAGACTGTGAGTCTGGGGACAGCTGCCCGGGCTCCAACCCCAGCCCCATCCAGGGGAGGGACTGTAAGACACACCGTCACCTCTCTGCAAGTTCTCCTCTCTTAGAGGGAAACGAGGAATGCCTAGTGCACTGGGGTATCAGGGGCTGAGTGAACTTTTTGAAAGGCTTAGAACTGGTATCTGATGCGCGTTGTTAAGTGATAATATGAGTTACCTCAGGATCTCTCACATGGCGAGCTCTCAGAAATGTTTGTTAATAATGTTATTGTCACAGGACTGAGTTTTTCCTGACTCGTAGGACAAAGAGGAAGGGAGGTTTCATTCTGCTCCCATCTAACCACTCAGACACTGTACTCTCTCACACTTACTTCAGTACTGGATGACGTGTGCAGAAAAAGAATGGGTATATTTTTGGTTTCAGTACAAGAAACTTGTGGTCTAGGTCTATATTTAAATATATTACAACATCTTCATCCGAACAGAATCCCTCCATTTTGGCCTCTGTCGTATTCAAAACATTTGTTTCTTCTATACCTTAAAATTAATATGAGCATGCAAGTCATTTTACTAACCTGTAAAAACTAATTAAAAATATCTCCAGAGCTATTTTTATACCAAGAAACTACTAAAACTAACCTCAAATATAAATTAATGAAGAAATCAAATAACAAAAAATGCTCTAATACTCCGAAATTAGTCTAATAATAATAATGATAATACTTTGCAAATTTATAACATTGTTTTTTACACTTTGACTTCTATTTTTCAGTTGTTCCTCCCAATAACCTAGAGAAAACGGTGGGGTTTCTAATAAGATATCAAGCTTATTTTTCAAATGAGGCCTCTGAGTAATTAATAAAGGTCAAGTGCCAGGTTCAGAAATGCTTACATCGTATATGGCAGTATCGGTGCTGGTCAAATGTAAAAATTTGGAAAACATGGGGGTGCCGGGTGGCTCAGTTGGTTAAGCATCTGCCTTTGGCTCAGGTCATGACTCCAGGGTCCTCAGATCAAGTCCCACCTCGGCTCCCTGCTCAGCAGGGAGTCTACTTCTCCCACTAACTCTCCCCCTGTTCATGTTCATGCTCTCTCTTTCTCTCAAGTAAAGAAATAAAATCTTAATTTTTTTTTTTTTTTGAAATCCTGAAGGATGGAAACCCAAACCAAAGATGCTCACCTACAGGTTTCTAACACATAACATTGTGCTTTGAGAATCAAACTCTGTTCAGCACCACTGTGCTTAGCAGGTTTTCTAAGTGGTGAGAGTGACGCGGCCTTAGTACGTAGTCATCATCTGGTCACCCCAGTGCCGTGAGTTACCTAAAGATGCCAAATCTGGTGAGTAGAAGTCTCCACCCCGTGTATGAATCCGGCTTTTAGCATTTCACCATCAGGTTCTAAATACTTAAAAAATGTTAAGTTTTCAGTCGTAAAGACACCAAAAGCAGAGTCAACCAAAGCAAAAATAAACAAGTGGGACTCCATCCGATGAACAAGCTTCTGCACAGCAACAGAAACCATCAGTAACACTAAAAGGCAACTTGCTGATTGGGGGAAGATACTCGAAAATCTTCTGTTAAGAGGTTAGTATCCAAAATATATATAGAACTCAGAAAATGCAATGGCATAAAAAATAAAAAAAACAATGGGCAGAGGATCTGAGTAGACATTTTTCCAAGGAAGGCATACGAATGGCTTACAGGTACATAAAAAGGTGCTGGCAGCGCTCCTCATCGGGGAAATGCAAATCAAAGCCACAATGAGACTTCTCCTCACGTCTGTTAGAGTGGATATTGCAAAGAGACAAGAGAAAACAGTGGCAGATGTGGAGAAGAGGGAGCTCTTGTGCATTGCTGGGAGGGCGTAAACTGGACAGACGCCGTGGAAGACGGTATCCTGCCCTTTGTGACAACACGGATACAGCTTGAGCGCATGACGCTAAGTGAAGTAACTTAGAGAGAAAGACAGATACTATATGGTCTCGCTTATATGTAGAATCTAACCCTGAACTCAGAGATACAGAGAACAGACTGATGGTGGCTAGAGGTGGGTTTGGGGAATGAAAGTAGTTAACAAATTTGAAAGTTGCAAAGAGAGTAGACCTTAGAAGTTCTTATGAGAAGAAAAAAGGTTGTATTTATATGTGGTGAGGGATGTTAACTAAACTTGTGGTCATCATTTTTATATATATATATACATATATATATATATATATATACACACACACACATACATATATATATAATATGTAATATATATTATATATGTGATTATATATATAATTGTTATGTTGTACATCTAAATCTAACATGTCACATATCAATTATATCTCAAAAAGAGAGCAGTATAATATAAAGCAAATAACTGTGTTTTTTTACATTTTAATTCCAGTATAGTTAACATACATTATTATATTAGTTTCAGTGTGTAATATAGTGATTCAACACTTCCCTTCATCACCTGGGGCTCATCATGACATAAATCACTGTGTTTGTACTTCACTTGCAGTATTTAGTGGGTTTTGTTTTAATTAGTGTTTATATTTTTATTATTTCCAATAGAAAGTGAATTTGCCCGGAGCCAAGATCACATTTGTGTCCTCCTCACATCTCCAGTGTCTGGTCTTGTGCCAGGTACCTAGGAGGCACTCTGTATTTTAGCTCAGTGGATGAAGAAATGACACAACATACCAAGACACGAACCTGCTGATCATCTGGGAGTAAGACCCCAAGAACCAGGTGGGGCAATGGGGTGTATCCTAATCGTGGTCCTTGCAGTGAAGAAGTAAATTTCTTTCTGTTACATCATAAAGGAAGCTTCCTTTATAACTCAGAGGGTGTCCTCTGATTTGTTACTTGGTTAGGATGTAACTAAGTTTAATGGCTAAGAACAATCACAGGTACTGAGAACTCCCTTTGGCCCCAGTTTACAGGCCACTCGTGGCTGAGAGTGCAGGGGGATAAAGGTGTGGTTAAGGAGAGCGGTTGCAAGATTTAGTAAGTAGGTTTTGCTCTGAACTACACATCTTCCAGTCAGCTCAGATTCACACGTGGGCCTAATCCTCAGGGATACACAGCAAATACACCCCCCCAACCATATGTTCCAAGATTTTCTTTTTAAGGCCCAGGAGCTTGTAACTCTAAAGTGAGGCTTTAACATTGTCTATTGGGGCATCTAGATCAGAGAAATATGTAATTTTACTTACTAAAAACTAATTTCAAAATGTTGCTTTTCAGCAATATGGCACACTGTGCACTGAGTGCAATTCTCCCTGGTCTCCACATCTAAAAATGATGGATGGAATATGGAAGATGAGTCTTTGCTTAATGCATGGATGATCTGGTAGAGAAGGAAAGGAAATCCCTGATGCTTAGAAAGGAAAAGAGAAAATCCTCCTGGTTAAGGGAAGGAGGAATCTGGGGCTTGTGATGGGGGTATTTTCCTCATCTCAGGCTGCCCAGAGTCTGGCTCTTTATAGGCTCTGAGAGAGTACAGAGAGAAAACCTGGGCCAGAGCAGGGTGGAAGGTGGAATCAAATTTTCCCATTACACACAGACAACCTAGACTCCTGAAGGGTGACCTCCACAGCTGATGGACTAGGGAAAGAAGTCTTCCCAGAGGAGAGAATGGATTAAGAATTAATAAAGATTTGTGCTGGTTCCAGCCTTATGGTGAAGAAGGTTGGGGAGACAAAGCCTCTCTGAGAATTCCTAACCACTAAGCCTCATATGCAAGGTTTTTGTGAAAAGAATTCATTACTAGTAGTGAAAAGAATTCACTACTGATTAGCTGAATAAAGAACCCGAGACAAAAAGTTAATTTGAAATACTCTGGTAGCATACCCAGGAACCTGGCTGAAGCAAAATTATTTTCCATATAGTAGTACACTTAAAAAAGCCAAACTTCAAAAAAAAAAAAAAAATCACACAAATAAAACTCCAAAGAGCAAAAGATCACAATAGAGAAGTTACCTAGTACAGCAGGAAAGAAGCTGTCATTAGTGAAAGTGGCAGAAATACAAAACTCAAGAATCCGACCAGCAAATGTTGTAGATACTGGAATGATCAGGTACAGAGTACAGAATAAATATGTTTGATATGCTCCAAGAAATAAAAGTATGAGAAGTTTGGTAAAGGCATATGAGGTTATTATAATGAACCAGGAAGATTTGAAAAAGAAAACCTATTTCTTTTGTGCATTTTTCTGAATGCAAAGAAACCAATGATTAAAATTAGAAACTCAGTTGAAGGATTACATAGCAAATTAGATACAAATGATGGGAGAATTTGTAAACTGGAAGATGAAGCTGGAGAAAGTATACAGACTGCAGATCAGAGAGCAAACAGTAAAAAATATGAAATGGAGAGTACAAGTTAGTGGGGAGAGAGTGAGAAAGTCCATTTCTCTAGAGTTCCAGACCAAGATAA